AATTTTCAAACTAATCCTAACCTACGATAAAAGATGCCAATAGATCCAACGTTATATGATGGAAGGTAGCCTCCAAAAAACTCTGAAATTATTTCTTTTTCTAATTGGTAATCATCACCAAGACATGCCTTATTCTTGAGGTGATAAGTGTTTCCTTCTCCCATGTTTCTTAGCTATATATATATATATAGTATTTTGATCTCTACTCTGGATAGTCTAATTCCGAAGCTTTTGTTGCACTGCTCGTCAACATTTTTAGTACTTAATTCGAGCACATTATATTTCTGAAAAAATATATATCACCTACAACCTGACAGTCCAGTACTTGGTGTGAATCAATAAAACGTATTCGAAAACACACCCATCGACCAATCAATAGAACAATCAAACAATAATTAATAATAGCATCACATCAGAGTGAATTAATGATCATAAAATGATCTTAAATAAAAAATATGAGCAGTTGTGAATAAATTAGCTTTGTACCTGTGTATTTATGAAGAGAAACGAAACATTCATTTGGGAAATGAGCTTAGCTGATATGTAAAACTGTCTATTATTTAGTTATTGTTCCTTAAAATTAACGATATATTATATATTTAACATTATTTACATATTACTTTAAAACTGAAAAGCCGCTTTACTTCAAAACAGTCCCTGTTATTCTAATGATAATCCTAGTAATGTATTGGATAAATGTAGCAAGTCATACACTACACCATTTAAAACACCCAGTCACGTTACAACTGGATAATCATATACTGTCATTAAAACTCCTTCAAATAATCTGTTGTTAGAAATCACATTGCGTACTAGTTTTAGTTAGGTAGGTGAAAACCAGGAAGCGCTGAGCGGTTTTTCCCCCTGGTATGGAACTCCTCAGCAGTCCACATCCATGAAACAGGGCCTCTAGTCTGGTAAACGAACACTTAACCGATATACCACTGAGCCAGGATCCAGTGACGTACGTCCCTGCTTTCAAATATGTCGCTAAACTCTGCAACCATCCTCCATTGCTTAAGGCAGATAGTTGTTTCAGCCAGAGATGGTTAAACTCCACTAGTCACCACTTCTCCAGTGAAACTTATGAGATCACTTTTTCAGGTGACTGTTTGACATAAGTTTAATCTATTTGGTGAAAAGTTGAGAAATATAATGCTTTTGTGTCTTCGTTCGAATAGATTTCTATTTCGAAGTTTTTTAAACTTGATCAATTAAAGTATATATTACTAATCAAAAATCTGGACTTACGATGGACGCAAAATAAATTTTGCTGTGTAATCGAAATTGATTAACTGCTGGTAGGTGAATTACAAACAATCTTGTCATATTCTTGAGAGCCAGCTGCAAATATCATATTATAAATTATGGTATACACTACTCAAATATTTATCGTTCGAAGGGGCCTCGTTAGGTAGTATGCCATATAATTTACTTCATATATGTGTACTTCTACTGATTGCAATGTCAAAGATCGTCAGTAGTCCATCAAGTGAAATTGTTCAAAAAGCCTACAGAGTACTCTCAAAAGATGGCTATTCGGTCAGGAGTACGAGCGAGGATAATTTAATCCCGAAAGCGACTTCAGCTTATTTGAACAACTGTCAACAATAACCCTGCTCCTTCATGAACAATAAGGAGGTTAATGACATGCAACATAGATGTTTTCAGGTATGTAGCTAACGCTGGGTGGAAAGTGTCAAAAAAATGTTTATCTAGCACATTGTCCTATACACTTCTGTAAAACTGTCTCTCTTTCCTTGGCCAGTTGACGAATCAAGTAATAAGTCAGACATCCACCACATCCGTTGTAAACCGGTATACAATATGCTTTTCGTCGTTAGATCTACCACAGATTTCTTGAACAAACAGAGCCCACAAATACAGAATAATTTGGACGATTATCACACACAGAAGAGTCCAATAAAAAGCGCTACCATTAGGTTGAGCTCGTTTGATAAGACCACGTCATCAATAAAAACACGATGAGTAATTAAGCTAGTTTTTCAAATAATAACAAAATATATAGTCTTACTCTACGTTTGAAGCAATAAGGGGTAACTGTTCCTTAGAAATTCATAAGCTAAGCTTTGATTCACCTTTTCTGATAAATGGCTGTAAACAGCAGAAAATTTTGGGCATTTAAGTATCTGCTACAGAAAAAGCCTACAACTTCCAGGCAAGATCAATATCTACACAGCAAGATCTATAGCAGCTCAAACTAACCCAGTAGTCGAGGAACCGCCACAGTGACTTGCAAAGTATTTCCAACTGTGGAATCGAATCGCAAAATTAAGACGGTGATCAGCTTCCAATCTAATCCAGACGAATAAGGGATAGCCTAGTCAGTTAATGGCGACGATATTAAGTAATCCAGTCACTAGAAAGGTCAGCAATCATAGTTCCTAGACATAATTTCAATAATATGTCTTAGTCAGAATCTATTTTGACTACACTTTGTTTGAATCATGTCCCTTAACTTTCACACCAGACTTTTGCATGGTTATCTAGCTTATATTTCGTCACGAAGTTTTAAAATCACTCTTATGCAACATTTACAGTCCTCCTTCCCTAGTAAAATACTTTTCGTCCACAAATAATTTAACAAGCTATTTATGGAGCAATTCATCAGAGATTGTCGTTTATGGTAGCTTAGTCTAATTTTCAGGGCAAGTCTTGATCTTTTGACATCTTGAATTCATATTTCATTAAAAAGCGCCCACAAATGAATACCTTGAATAAACAGTCTATCGTTGATGCTGTTGGAATGAAAATAGTTCTAAAGAATGACTTCTATGATCACTATGTTATGTTTTATTTACTGAATGGCAAGTAAAACTATTCTTTGGTGGGAAAATATTTGTCACCTCACCTAGTCATGAAAGTAAGACTGTTAGAAATAACAAATTCAGCACTAAATAACTGGACTGCTTGAGTTGTAAATACATTTATTCACTTTATTAGGCATTAGGAAAGTTGTTATTCAAATTGTGGATAAGTTTTAGTAACGGTTAAGTTGGTGTTGGACAAAATTATTTCAATAGCCACGGAATTTATGGGTTTGATTGTGCTGAAAGCGATCCAAATTGTTTGCTTTGTGCAGCTTAAACTTGCGTTGATTCTATTTCGGTTATTTATTCACTTTGAAGAAATGACTTGCATTGTTAAGAAATATCAGAAATGCAATTTTCTACTCATTGGGACATGACAAAAAATACAACTATTATTAGTATCTTATACAAATATTCGTCAAGATTGGAACGAATAGTTTGACAGAAATTGGGCGCCGAGTAAATACAAGTCATTATATGTAAAAATTATATTTTGAATAATCTCAGCGATTGAAATTTAAATAATTCCAACGTTTCGTTCGGCTAACTTGTCTGGACTTCTTTGATTATTACCCTGAAGAAGTCCAGACAAGTTAGCTGAACGAAACGTTGGAATTATTTAGATTTCAATCGCTGAGATTACTTAAAATATGATTTTCACATATAATGACTATTATTAGTATCTATGGAAGTCATAAAATTGGCCAAAACCCACGTGGATGTCTTGAGAGAAAGCCCATGGTAAAATCTAAGGTCTACACATTATATTGGTCCTCGCTGATCCATTACTATTTCATGAACATAAGACAGCGCGATGTGTCATTTGTTGTATCTCAATATCAAGTATTTATTCATGTCTTGTTGTCTCTTAAGCAGGTTAATTTTTACGATTGCGAAGGAAAAACAAAAGTAAACGACCACTTATCCAAATATCTATCCGCGCAACGTTCTGTAAAGTGTTATAAAGTGTTTGACAAACAAATGCATTACATATTCCCTTTGTTTCTATCTCAAAAACAATATATTCGTTTTGGACAAACTAAAGGGGACAGAAAAAACCTTTGATGCAACATTTGCATATTACGTAAATGAAGTGTGATAAAGAATTTTATCTAAATACACTTAAAATAGGACGCACATTTCCCATTAAAGATGAACATCATTAGATATGCTGCCATAACTTAAAGTAAAATAGGACAGAAAAGGATGCTTTGATCATGTGGTCTAGAATGTTGACTAAACAATTAACATGCATCGTTGTAATCTGGAACTATTAATTAATGATTTATAAATTAACATTAAAATAAGCAGTTGAGTAGTAAAGTCTAACTTTCCCACATGCTAATAGACTAAAAATAAGACTAAAATGATAAAAATATGGTAACATTTAACAGGTTATTGGTGTATTGCATCGTAGTTTAAGCATCTGAAGTTGTTGATACTGAAAGAATAGTAATTACTATAACACAGTAACAAAAATGACACATTACAGCTTTCTTAAAGTTGGTACTTTCCAAATGCCTCTTAATTAGGGTATACATTACTTCTTTCAAACGTCAACAGCAATACAGTTGTTGAGGCACGTCTTAGCAGCCTGAATAATCGACCACTTTCAGGTATCCCATCGAAACATTTTTCTCAAAACACGAGCATTAAAGGAGTTTTAATATCTCGGATAAAAACTATGACTGATGCTTTAAGAGTTGATATTGGTTTCTGTGAAGTATAAAAAGCTTTCGTTGTTTCTGTAGCAGCAAGACTTTGAGGTGGGATTTAAAAGTTAAGCAGGTGCAAACAGTTAGTTGTTTGAACCATTCTGTTATTTAGGAAGGTGAATAAAAGACGATAGTTGTATTTCTCAAAAACAATAAATATAACTCATATGAGCTTAGTCATCGACTTATCTAAAACCGCCCTTAAAATTTACGTTCCAGGATGTTATGGAACATTAACTCACAGTTACATTTAATAAGTAAATGTAAACCTAATTTTCACTCCACATTTTATTCTGAAGGCAGTTACGTGAAGTGGTACTACAATGTTTCACTAATCTATCTAAAAACTACACACTTACATTAAGCAACAAAAACAGCCCTACAAACGGTGAATAGATATCATAACACGACAAAAATGTGTAAAGTGCATGACAAATGACAGCCACAGACTTACTTTGTTGTCTGGCATCAATAAGCCAATATAAAAAGGTAATATTGCAACGACATCTATTATACTCATCACAGATATAAAAAACTTCCATCTATTTGGCGCAGCATACATTCTTGCGCAGTATTCTACAGTGAATATGACTACACATGCTGTGTCGAGGCATGAAAAGGCATCTATGTACCGGTCGCCACAAGCCCGTTGTTTACTTAGTCCAGGTTCTGGCCCACAAGGTATAGTCTCCGTAATATTGGCAAACACGGAAACAGCAATAAAAAAGCCGGTTACGTAGTAAATGACAATTGCAGTAGTAGAAAACTCTGGGTTTTCGAAGGCCTGCCAAAGTCTGTTACGAAAATCCTTTGGCACTTCAGCATTCTCTTTGGTTGAGGATCTTTCCTCCAGAAGACGCTCCGAATTTTCACGTTTACTGTCATGGTAATCTTCGTAGCAGCAATCACCTAGAGCTTCTGATGCTATTCGAAAGTAGGCAAGTTCATCTTCATACTGCATGACACATTCTTTCTTAGGATAATGGAGGTGCCCGCAACGATAATAAGTCAATATATGTCGAAATATTTCAGGGTCTCTATCAAAGTAATATTCGCCACTATTCTCATCATAAAAGTAATCACGCTCATCTGATCCAAGCAAAGTATGCGGATACTGATTCAAACTGCTTGTAAGTACTTCAAATCTCTGACCGCTTACATTAATAATTGCCTTCTTCTCATAAATATCTTGATTTGAATCATCCTTTGTGCACACATTTTTCGGAAGACGATGTTGAGCGATCGGTACCCATCCAATCGCTGAGGCTCTAACGAGAGGTAACCAAGCAGAAGCCTGAGCCATATCACATATCTGAGCCATTAAATATCACTTCATGAACCAGTGTACGACTCCCAATAATCTACCATAATTATCCTAGTTATTGAGTGATGATATACAAATTAAATTTTTAAATTCTGTCATGTTCCAGAGTTGACACAAAATAAAAAAGTACATGCGCGTATTCACAGAACGATCGCTCACAATTATGAATACTTATCACTGAAAAATTTGTGGTTATTGACACAAACAAACAAACTCGTGCTTAGTTTAAAAAGTTCTGAATTTCGCGATAGTTTCATCTGTTTCATATTACTCCTGTTTAAAAATGTATTCTTCATGATGATGCAGTAAGCAAATGGATTGAATTACAGTGAATTTTCAGGATCGAGTTTCGCCTTTCATACACAACTCATAAAACGCGATTGCTAAACTGCTAGCTAAGGAGCTTAGATCAAATTGTTCTCCCCGCATTGGACTTTTCTTCGGTGACTGCTAATTTATCTTTTACTACGCTAACCTAGGCATCATGAAGTTTGAGCTTCTCGAATCCAACAAGATTTTATAGCACTTGAACCCACACAACTCGGCAGATTAAACGGAATATAGCCCACAGTCTAGTCTGATCCATTCTTGCTGCTCCCACCAGACATTCATTGCCAAATTCGAGCTACTCTTTGACTGAAATTGAAACTTCTTCACTACACAAAAACAGTAGCAATTCGGACGTCTGCAGTCATAGAATCAATTTTCTGCATCACAATAAATGACTTGCCTCAAGATATAATGTTTGGACGATACGTGTCCTTACTGTTTATAGGCAATTTGCCTAGAATCTCTGCTTATCAAGTCTCAAATTCACAGATGATTTTGAGAGTAGCATAGAGATAAAGGGTTAACTTACTTCTTGTCTCTTCAGAAATTTATGACAGATATAAGACTAGACTGGTGGAAACCTCTCGATATCTGAGAAATACTGATGGTGAGAGGTAATGATATATCCACCCCATATTCTTTAAATTGCCTCAATATCACAATCTCCACAACAGAAAGTATCTTAGGAATCATCTCCATGATACATAGTGTAACTGAACCAGTGGTGGCCCATTGGTCGACAAAAAAACCATCTGGTCATAACGTTTTGGGAGAAACGACTGTGTTATTGAGGTCTACTGTTGCAAATCGCCAACCACATCTCATGTTTACCATCTGACATGGATTACTTATTCATCTCATTCAGGTACCATGGCTACTTCGATGGCCGGACAACATCAACAGTGTTATTACAGAAATGTATCAGGAAGAGCGGGTGTATAAACAGAGTGAGACCACTGCCGCATAGGCCAGTCCATAGCGTGCAACTGACATATGTACGTCCGTTGTCTTTGACCTTTATGGAGATTTATAAACTGTAAGATATCCAGTGACCAAAATGTCGGCTGGTTTGGTTAAGAACCAGTAACATTTCACTGATCCTACACTGTCCATACGCCTTCCTGGTTAGCAAAATAACGAGTTAAGAAGATTGTCACAAAAAGCATTTGGAAATAAGCAGGACATAAGTGAGAATGATGGAGAGTTGTGTTATCTAAATGACATATTCAGGGTTGGTACAGCAGTGACCCGAAGAATCAACTTGAATAAATGGTTTTCTGAATCCATTGGAGGTTCAGTGAAGTGCCAAATCATCAGGCAGTCAGGTCACTGAACATCGAACAGTTCACTTATCCCGGTCAATGACAACCAACTCGCATCAGTTAATCGCACGTCATAGACTGGCCCATGTGCAGTGGTCACACTTTCTCCGTTGTACCCACACTTACCGATATATCCATGTAATAAAGTCGTTTTTCTTGTACAGTTATCAAAGTAGGCGTACTACCTGGACACAAGGAATGGGTAATCTACATTTGGCATCAACCCTGATGTGTGACTTCAACGTTAGTTGGTTGTTCATACCATTCCTGCATGAATCGACACAGATCATCTACGCTGGTGATCTACGCCACCTTTATCAAGTTTATTACCTGAAATCTCGAGTAACTGAATGCGCCCTCAATCCATTCTTCTATTCAATCACATATCTACCACATAACTGAGTATAGATACGTTCAATTGTAATCAACTTCAGTACTAGTACGTTTAAATTTGCTATTATAGTATAAGAGCTGATCCGAAAAATGGGAAATACGTCATGATGTGACTACCTAATTATCATGACTGGGAGTATTCAAATTATAGTATGAACTAAGAATCTCAGAAATAACGTAATCGGATCAAGAAGTACTAGATAAGCACTAACGAATGTACTGTATTTGGAATTCGAAATCAAGCATTCAACAAGTACAAAGAAATCATTAGTTCGTTCAAACACCACATCCGCCACAGCTTAAATTGTAGTGTGTGTCTGTAATTGATTGTAGGTCTTCTCAAGTTCATCCTGTGTCTGACCGACATTGTATTGGATAAAAACTATGTAGTATCTAGAATGCGCTCACTAGTATTGGAATTACCAACCGAAATCGGAACAGATTCACCTGGAATTTTATACAATCAGCATGCCGGTTTTGTAATGAAATCATTAATATCTAGAATTCGAACCATAGATTTTTCAACACTATCCTCCACCACGAAATAATGTTGGATCTTTATATCCCCAAGTTATGAATGATGTGGCTTCATTTAAAACGTATTTCTCACATTGGTTAAAGTGAACATAAGAAGTGACTTTGTGATAAGTATAAACAGCAGTTGATATGAAGTCGTCCGAGTTGTAATTGAAATCGAGCTCATTTAGTACTTGTGCTTCGCATTGGACAAGTTTCCCACAAGAAACAAATGCATTATGAAGACAAATAATATTTGGTAGAACATCAAGATTTGATTCTTCGGAAATGGTTTCCTCAAATTTATTAAGAATGTCATTGCAGAGTAAACAATCTTCTAAAGGAGTCTATTACTTATTTATCCACGTCTGTTGCACATTTTTGTATTGATATTTTACAATATATGATATTCTGGCAACAACGCGATGACGGATAACGATAAAAAATAGTACCAATATAATAGACTCCGATGTACGCATATCGAATCTTAGACGTCTTTCATTCGCATGACGATACATTCCACGCTTTATTCGAAAAACGTCCCCAAATAACTATTCTCACTGACCCGGCTGCTTGGTATGGAATGCATACGCCCTACCGCTTACCAGCCAGCTTCAAATGGTTTAGTTGAACGATTTCATCGCCAACTCAAAAGTGCTCTACGAGCACACGAAACGGCAACTGGCACAAAACCTTACCGCTCGTTCTCTTAGGCATCAAAACGAGCTTGAAGTCAGGTATCCAATGTTCCGCCGCTGAACTTATATACGGCACGACGTTGCGTCTGCCTGGGGAATTTTTCGCACCACGGAGCGGTAACGATTTCGATAAATCAGACTACGTCCATCGACTGTCTGAATTTATGCGAACACTGCCTCCGGTGTCAACTCAAATACAACATCGACAGGTCACTTTCCCTCGAGATTTATCTACCTGTTCACGTGTTTTCATGCGAGCAGATTCGGTACGCAAACCACTGCAACAGCCTAACAAAGAACCCTTTCATGTGATTTCTCGTCACGAAAAGACCTTCAAAGTTTATCGACATGGCCGCGTCGAGATCGTCAGCATTGACCGTCGGAAACCAGCACACGTCGATGACAGTGCCCTACCTGACAAGCTGAGACTCAATGCTAGACCCATCAAACCTGCTAGCGGGATCCCTACATCTACTCCAGATCCCACGCTAGATACATCGGAGACCTCATTCTCACATCCCAGTCAACAGCGCGTGTCATCTGCACCATCCAGGGACGAGACTTCAGTCTCACGTCCAGATCAGCAGACCACGCCGTCCTTGACTTCGGATGAGATAGCAGGCTCGCGAAGTACAAACGAGACCACTGTCTCACGTTCCGGTTGCCGAGTACGCCTATCCGCACGCTTTTGCGACTAAACGCACAATCAACAACGGATGCAGTGTAGGACTATTTCTATACTACGTGCATGCTACACCTTTTCTTTTTCTTAGATTTTTCTGCATCCTGAGCCCACGCATCCGCTCATCGCCCGTTTGGTACCGTCGACTTCGGTCAACCTTTGCGAAAGCTGGTCTGATCCTGGTTTTGAATCTGTTTAGCATACGTTTGGTCTCGCAATTGATTGTTATGGTCACTTCTAGTTCCGTGGCTCAACGTGGTTCCGTCCTACGTCTGCAGCGTTTATTGCCCGCACCACTACGAACGCAATCCTCAGATCCTGGATACGTACCACCCTGGTGTGGTATGCCAACACAAGCAACAAATACAGCACGTTTCTCCTGGTACCGTTCTAAGTAAAAGACCTTCGGTGGCAACTCGAGGATCAACGATCACTTCCTGTTCCGTCAACCCTTTCGTCCTACAATCGCACGTTTGCCGTTCAGTCCCACGAACGAAACTGCTACCTATCGAAAGTTTAAACCCTTTCTAGCGGTATGCTCCTGTAGTGACCTACTTTTATCAAGAGAACGGGATTGGTTTAATGGAAACAATCATTAAAACCAGTTATACCAGTGATTGTTTTACTGTACTTGTTTGTCTAACTGTACTAAAGAAATTCTTCCTTCCGTTGCTTGTGACCTTGCACGCACTGACGTTTGCTCAGTGATTGCGCGTGTACTCTTTGAGCACGATCTCGGTACTCTTTCGATACCACGAGATCGCCAACAAATATATCTCGCTACAACCTCTAATCGCCTACTGATGTCTAGTAAGCAACCTTCTTGTAGTGGTGATCGTAGTCAACCGCTACTCGACGCCGCGCTACATCCTCATGAATCATTTCACGAAATCTTCCTCCTCTACCAAATTCGAAATTTGTATACTTAGCATAGTCCAGCAGTAGATTCTTGAGAGTTGTATAAGAAATCGAAGTGGGCTTTCCCGGTTAAGCCAGAGTTTTCATTAAGCTATGTGCTTCTTTTCCAATGAATGTGAGGAAATGTGCTGCAATATT